AACCCCCTTTAGCAGGAAGAAATTTTTCCTTCTATCTAGTCGACAGTTCCTTGCTGCAACCTACGGCTGCTGCCTCGTGTTCCTCTCCTGTGCACCTCTGAGAAGAATGTGGCTAGGTAATATACTTTAGATAGTGAGAGACTGAAAAAAGATCCCACCTTGGCTCTCTTCTCCCTGCCAAACCCAGCTTTCTGTCTCTCCCTGTATATCACGTGCACCAGCCTCCTCACCGTCACAGTAGCCCTCCATTGGACTCTGTCCCATTTGTTGGCATCCATCTTGCACTGGGGGCCCAAAACTGGATCCCGTATTCTAGATGAGGCCTCAGGGGTGCCAAATCGAGGGAAATAATTACTTCCCTCAGCCTGCTGGCTGTGCTCTTGTTAATGCAGCTCTGTATGTGTTTAGCCTCAATTGCTGCAAGAGCAATGATAACCCACCATAGGGAAGTAAAAAAGCACAGAACTGTTGGCAGTATAAACACCTGCAGCCCAATGAATGCCAGAAACCTAGGGATGAGTAAAATAAAACATTTAATACCAAACTCTAGGGGGAACGCTGCAGCTAGGTTCTTTGCTGAAACACAGGGCTCAGGTGACTTTACCAACGATTTTCCACGTCGCTGCACTGAAGGATGGTGGGTACTGGCTGGGAACTGGGCCCCATCCACTGAGGTCTGAAAATCAACCACTGTTAACACAGTATTTGGGTCTTCCAGGACAACATCCCTTGGCAGCGACGGCATTTCCAGCCCTGCGGTCCACAGCAGGGAGGAGCGTTCCGCCAGCGATGAAGCTATGTGGCACGGTGGTGAGCAGCACTTTTGCCGTCTTCTTGGTTCTGCACCCGGGTGAGTCCTCAGCTCAGCAAACCCTCCCGGTCCTTACAGCCTTTCCATAAGCATCACAACATTTGGGGTGTTTTTAGGCTCCTCCCCATTTGCCATATAACACACCTCGTGCGGCTTGGAGCAGGGTCATCCCAGCCATGCAGCTGTGACAGCAGTGGGGAGGTGCATGCAGTGGAGATTAGGACCAAGGGGCTAGAAGATGAGGGGCTCCCTACCCTGGTATTTCAGAGACAGCACAGACAGCTCAAGCTTTGGGACTCTCAGGCTGTTCCTAGCCTGCTGGCCAAGCCTGTCAGCTGAAATCAAGGCGGTTTGGAGCATCACCGGGTTTGGGGAGCTGCCCTGTAGAGATGCAGGAGTGGGGTTCCTGTGAGAGCCAGGGTGCCTGTGGCATGGCTTCAAACCTCACACTGGAGGGGTGGGCAGGCGGGGTAGGGACCGTAAGCAGCGAGTGCGTTAGTGTAGAAGCACACAGTGTAGTGACTTGGACAATGTTGCCATAAAAGAACAGGACCGGGAGCTGGAGAAGGCATTGTGCAATTCGGAGTCAAGGTTCACAAAAGTTGTATGAATATGAAGAAATGCTTGAGGCGGGACTTGTCCTTTGGGCAGAGCCATTTTCCTGAGCCAAACCCAGCCTGGATCTGCCACACCAAGCGCAGAATGGAAAATACTGCCTTCCACATTGCCTCCAGCCGCCTGGGCAAAATCTCGTGGGTTTCTCATCAGAGATTTGCCTTTACGAATGTGATGCTACCGGTTTGCTTAGTTTGACTGCTAATGTTATAAGATTAGGTGGACTTTTTAGTGCTCATTTTTCAAGAAAGGAAGGTGACTGAGTAAGGACAAACCTGCATTTCTCAGATAATCAGCTTTGATTCCTCTGGTTGCAGAGAAAAGCTTGGAAGTCTTTTATGCACCTTAGCACCAAAAGCAAAGCAAAAGATACCGACTCTTATTAATAGTATTTATAATTTCACAGTTTAAGACAACTGCATCATTTTCTGTGGTCCAACGTGTGATTATTGAAAACCTATATTGGCGTTATGACAGATTACCCATGCTCTTGGAGGAATATGTAACCTGTGGAAAACCCTCCATTAAAATCACGTAAACTTTTTATTTTGCACTTCTGGGGCTCTTCAGTACTAGGGTCACCTGAGGGATTCACAGGTTAGACAGCTCTGAGAGCTTACCAGCACTGAGGCAGAAGACCACAACCCCCTTATTCCCAATTGTACCTCTGGCAACTCCACCTTCTTCCTATTGTCTCCTGCAGAAATCCTCTTTACAGTGAAGGAAAGGAAGTCATTCTTTCAAGAAACCACTCCTAATGTTTCTTCAACCTTATATATCCTACTTCTTTTACTGTCACACAGCCCTCATCCCAAGAACAGGCATCTGGCATTAGGCCAGCCTTCTTATTTCTTTTTTTACTTTATCCTTTCATTGTCCTGGACTTTCAGTCTTGCTCCATGCAAAAATTGGAAGAAAGGGTAAGCAAATTTGCCAGTGCTGCCTCAAGTATTGACTGGGGAGTGAAGGAGGGCTGGCGTATGCTATTCTGCCTTTGCTACCAGTGAGATAACTAAATTTTGCCCAGTGGAAAAAGGTTCTTTCAGTAAAACCATTGACATCTCAAAATTGTAAATGATGGTGAATCCACCACAACCATTGGCATTTTCCCTGATTCTGAATGTATGTGAAACAGAATAGCCACTAGCTGGGTAAAGAGCCAAAGTGGAGGGGAGGGAAGTTACAGAGCTGAAAAGATAAGGGATTGATTCATGAGACAAAGGAGCGAAAAATTCAGAAATTGAGGATAATCTTCCCAGTATCTGGGAAAGGGAGGAGAAGTATCTTCGTCTTTCTGGAGGGATGGGAAGTATTCACTGAGTCACCCTTCAGAAAATGAATGTATGCCTTTTTTGGTGGGTGTTGACTTTCAGGTCTGATCGCCATTATGGGTCAGCAAAACGAACTACAGATTGGGGTGGCAGGCCAGACGGTGATCCTGAACTGCAAAGGCATACCTCATAACTCAGGTGTGACCTGGAAGTACTATAAAGTTGTTATAAGGAAGTTTATAATGAGCAATTTGAAAGGTAAGGCTTCCAATTCATCACACCTTCTCCCCAGTATATGGCTGAGAAACCTCTTTCCTCCTAATCAAGCATATTTTTTCAAAAGGTAAAGCTACCATGACTGATCGATCTGAAATCAGCTCCAACAGTAAACACCTGAAAGTGTTCAACTTAAGGCTTTCCGATGCTGGAATCTACACCTGTGAATATGACTCCCACACAGTCAGTATCTCACTGCATGTCTTTGAATGTGAGTGATTAGAGGGCTTTTACCCATGAGGAGGTGAGGGGGGAGCAGACCAGGAGACTGTAGAGCTTGGAGAGACATCTCCGCTGGGATTCTTTATCCAGCAGCTCTTTCTTCTGTCCTGAGCTATCATAGTTCATTTCTCCTACATCTCCAGGGCACAGAGTCTCCATATTCTTTTTGCTGTGACATTTGTCCCTCTCTTGCAGGATGAGGAGTTGACTTATGGGCTACACTTTTTCTCTTTACAGTGACGATTTCTTTAGGTGGGCACTTTCTGCCAAATGAAGTTCCCCAGCTGACTTTAGTGCAAAATTCATCCCAACCTCTACCTGATCTCAACATCGCATTGTTTGACAGTAACAACAACGCAGTAAGACCAAAACCCTTACCAAAGAATACTCGTCAAAAATACATACTGGAGTTAAAGGAACTGGAGGCTACGGACAGTGGGCCCTGGATGTGTCACATCCATTCTGACTCTCCATTGATTAATCACAACATCACCTTTGATGTGAAGGTATTAGGTATGCAACAACAAAAATGCAACTCACACACAGGCTCAGGAACCAGTCCCTCCAGCTCATGAACTGAGCTTTTACTTTCCAGCATCCCAAGCAATGGTGTTCCAGGGTCGATTTCCCAGGGCTTCCAACACCGCAGATTAGGGATTGCTCTGCTGCCTGAGCTCTGTCCCACGCTTGCTCCCATTTTCCTCTCCAGGCTTGCTGTAAAAGGTCTCCCTCTCCTTGGGGTCTCTTCTCAGCTCTGATGAGCTTGGGAGCTTTGGCTCTTTAAATCTATTCTCAGACACTAACTGTTTATCCTTCCTGGGGTATTTCATGGCTTTTCTCCGAGCCTTCTTTCAACTGATCACAGTGTGCATCTCTCCAGATCAAGGGTGGACACAGGGAAGTGTAGCCATGTCTTTCCCTGTCTCTGTATTCCTTGTCTCTTCTGAATTCAGGTTTTCAGAATCCAGGCTTGGAAAGGAAGTATGCAACTGTTGATAGCACTGTCATCTTGTCGTGGCATCTGAATTTTCAGAAGATAAAATGGAAAAAAGGTTTCACAGGACAACTGAAATGGAAACAACAGGAAAGTACAACCACTCATGAGCTTCTTGATTTCAATGTCACAGCACGGGGAGAGAAGCATGAGACCAAAAAAAGCAGCCACTTTCGGTTTGAGATACCTGAAAGCAAACCTGAAAACACCATAAACGTGAAACTCCCCAAAGTCCATTTCAACCATTCTGGGCAGTACCAGTGCCAGCTGGCATACAACGGAAGAGACACACACAGCAGGATAGAGCTGGTGGTGATGAAAGGTGAGAGAAAGAGAAGTGGGCCAAGAGCTGAAGAGCTGCAGAAATCTGGAAGCCACAAGCATATAGATGGACCCATGTTCCCATCCTCTCACTCACATGTCCTTTTCTTACCTTTACAGTCTCAGCTAACCCTGTTGGGCCGCTCTCCAGAGGGGCCAAGATGACCCTGACCTGCCAGGTGTCTAGTCCACTCCCACCCAATGCCCACTTGCGCTGGGAACGTGTGAATGGGACTCAGATGGACATCAAGATGTCAAAGAAGAATGAAGCAAAGGTGGAGGTGAATGTCAGTGCTGCAGGGCTGTGGAACTGTCACCTCATAGAAGGCAATGAGATGAAGATCAGCCTTAATTACCCCGTGGGTATGGAAATTAGTATCAAGTACCTGCCTCCACTCAAAAACCTTAAAATTCTTTTTGTATCTGCCTCTGAATACTTTTCTTCTTCCACAGAGGAAGCTCCTGTTTGGATCAGCTATGTGGTAATCGGAACAAGTATTGCAGGCAGCGTGTTGGTGTTTGGCCTAGCGTGCCTGTGCATCATCAGTGGCATAAGCTGGCAACGGAGAAGGGTGAGTGCCCGGTGAAAGGTGAATAGATGACACCTCTCCCCAAACCCTAGGAGGAGTCTGAGTTTCTGTCTGGGAGCAGAGCCGAACAGATAAAGGGTCGATCCTTAGACTCAAAGCAAATAGTTAGAGATGGACAGCCTGCAGATAGTACTTTACTACCATTTCAGAGGAAAGCATTTGAAGCATCAAAATATCCTATCATTATTTCTCCCTTCTTTCTTGGCAGCAACGGGCAAAAAGGATGGTACGAGCAAGACAATATTTGCTGGAAAACAAGACATGTCAGTGTCAACAGTAAGTGGCAACAAGGGCATCTGGAATGGGCAAAGACTCTGTTTTCAAGACAGGGGAGCTTGATGGTTAAGTGGGGAAAAATGGAACTTGAGCCTGCTTAGTGCTACAGTACAGCTGCATTTCATCATTTTCAGCTCTTACTCATGTTAAGTCACGTTTAAGAGTTATGAGACATGTTTAATTAATTTCCTGTTACGCCCCAAACCCATGGTAGCACTGTGCCGGGAAACTTTTGAGCAGAGAGTTCTCAGTTGAATTACTTTGACGATGAAGAGGAGTTGGCCAAACCCAAGCAGGAGCTCCAGGGTCCTTTGATGAGTTCCACTGTGGATCCGGGACCTGGATGTCAAAGTTGTGCAGGTGAAAGGCACACAACCAAGCTCAACGATTAAACCCAAATTTTAAAAATACATTATGTCCGTAATGTGACTCCAGCTCTGTGCACACAGTTCTGGACTGCAATTTGTGAAAATTGCCAATAATGTCTCGGGAGCAAGGAAAAAGAGGAGAAAACCACAGCACGCTGTGAACCATGCCCTCTCCTAAAGGCCTTGGGTGATATGAAATACACCATCAAGTCCTGGCCCTTTTCACGGGAGCAAGGACTTCTCAGCAGAGAAGCTGCCTTTTTCCAGGTCTTTAAGCATATATGGTATCAGGCATCACAGCAGCTGTGAAGAAACACTGGCGGCTATTCTGTCATCGGAAGTGGAGAGCTAAGGACAGTATAAATGATTGCATGAACCAGTTCAATGAATGTGTAGGTACAGAATTGTACTTCTCTTTAATTTTTACTGGTGACAGTGGCAAACTGCGATAGTTTCACCTTTTTTTTTTTTTTTCACTGTCACTGAGAATTCGGTGAGAATGTTTATTGGTAAATACTACTTCATAGCTGGGATGTATATGCGGTGAAGAGTTGGTTAGCATAACACGTGTCACAGAATTCACCCTGTTTTCACCTACTTTTTATCAAGGTTAAAAAATAATCCCCATAAGGACAGGACAAAGCCAATACAACTGCATCAAAAACTAGATAAATCTGTGCAATGCAAGTGCTGATACAGTTGTTCTTTAACTCTCTTTGCCAAGTAAGCAGCTCAGTGTAACTGAAACCTAAACCACAGCCGTGTGGATATGCAAGTAACCGTTTGCATCCTCAGCTACAGAGGCAAGCAGTCATTCTCGACACTAAGCAAAAAAGTGGGGGGAGTTGGCTGGCTTCGAGGTAACAGAGTGGAGCCTTTCAGGTCTACAATACTGATACTCACATAATACTTTTCTCTTGCAGCCGGCTGAATAAGTAGTATTGCAGCACTGGAGTCAGAAGGACTGATGAAGTCTGTGCCTGCACCTGAACACCTGCCAGCCCATAGTGCTCTGTGAATCCATCTCCCTTTCTCCTGTTTTGATGTAATTCTTTATTCCTTTATCATTCCCCTAGTCTAATGCTGTGGAGGGATGCTGTCTGGCTAGGAGACGATGGACAAGACAAGAAAACTTAAAGGTTAAGATTGATCCCAAGTTCTACAATGAGAGCTATTGAATAGAAGAAAGATATATATACATATATATATATATATATGCTTGTATTTTGCTCATGCACTTAGTTTGACCTTCTTGTGGAATGGATTTTATACGCTTCTTTTATCCTCTTGAGCTACAATAAATTACGTTGGAGTTGGGTGGGTTTTTTTGCAAGCTGGACTAAATTTTTTCTTCTGAGGCACCCTCATCTCGTTCAGATTCGCATTTCTCCCTTCCCTGCTAGGAAGTGGATTCCTGATTCTTACTATCTCCCACCTCCCTGGCTGCCACAAGCCTTCCTTAACGCACCAGCCCTCTGCTCTGCATGAAACCTGTCCACCCTCACATGCCTTTCCTAAGCCCTGCAGAGCCCCCCCAGCCCCATCCCTCAGTCTGTAGTCTTTCCCTCTCCCACAACAAACAAATGCACAAGTGAAAACACCACAAGCAGTGGGATAATTCAGGACTAACTTTGTCAGGAAGGTAGTTCAGGATACCAAGAGCTTCTGGAAAGAAGCCTGAAGAAGTTGTAAATGTTGATCTAGAGGATAAGTTTGGGAAGTGGGTGACAAAGTAATTTCTGAGGAGAACGAACGAGCCTCGGACTGTGCAAGCCTGCAGAGTGCAGAGAAGAGATGCTTCTGGGGAAGCCACTGAAAATGTCTCCTTGTTGGCTCAAGGAGATGGGAAGAGGGAGTGAAAAGCTCAGGAAATTTAGGGTGGAAGTAAAAGCATGTTGCAGAATGCCAGAGTGGCCTGAAAGAAAAATAGCGTTAAAATATGTACACAGAAGCCTTGTGTTTATAGAAGTTATTCTACTGTCTGCTAGCGGCGGGTCAAAAAGGCCCTGAGGTCCTACAGCTGTCACTGACTGTGCTCCAGGTTCATTCGTCTGCGCTAGGCTTGCTGGGGAGAGGCAGAGGGGGGCACTGGGCTGTGGCAAGGGGTCCCTGCAGTGGAGACACCCCCCCACGGGATGCCCGGTGCTGGAGGAGGGTGTTTCTCTGCGGCAGGCCTGTCAGCACCCCGCCGGTCCCGATG